CTTTTATAGTTGAGAGTTCATCTTGCTATGTCTCTAAACACACGTTCTTGTGAAGTATGGTATTCACAGAAGAGAATTTGGGGAGTTGATGTACAAAATGCTTGCACGATAAAAATATAATTCCAAACAATAAATAGAAGTTGTTGTTGGTGAACCTGTTTAATCCCAGCACTTGGGAGGCAGAGGCAGGCAGATCTCTGTGAGCTCGTGGCCAGCCTGGTCTACGGGATGGGTTCGAGGACAGCCAGGACTGTTTCACAGAGAAACCCTGTCTTAAAAAAAAACAACAACAATAACAACAAAATAGGAGTTGTTTTCTGAGATTCATGTTTAAAAATCAAGGGAACTTTTAAATGTATGTCATCTACTCTCTTTTAAAAGGTTAATATTAGATGCAAGATTAATCAACATGGGGTAAAAAAGTCCTCTGAAGCCATCATTATTCCTTTCAGGTTGTGATCTAAAATGTTTGCGCTATCCATTGCAAATTGATTTACTTTCCCCATGGTGTCAAGGGCTCACAACTCTGCTTTGTCATTCCTATTTATATGCATATATCAGAATTCATAAAATTCCAATCTTTTAGCATTCTCGATTAACCATTTTGTTGAGGATGGACAAGCATGAAGAAAAAGGGAAACATTTATTTAGTATGATTTTTGATGTGCACAGACCGGGCAGGTGTTGAAGGACTCAGTGACTTAATGGTGATGCAGAAACGGCAGTTTCTCTATATTCCAAGACTCACTGTTGCAGGTTGTAAGATGCCCGGGGAGGGGAATGTGACATTTTCCTGGCTTGGAACTCCCCTCCCCTCATTGCTTACATCCCATTCTAGAATCCCATTGGTAAACATACAGTCAACAAAAGGCTGTGTCCTGGTTCTTGAGGATCGGAGCATGTGATGTAGTGTTCCGTGGCTTCTTTCTGTCATTTACACATTTGTTATAATAGCACGTAGTAACGGCGGCTAACATGTATCACAACAGGTACTCTCTAAAACAACTTTATGGGTTTTATTCTTTTTCTTTATGGCCCTAAGTGATTGCCAGATGAAGATGCTGAGCTTGAGAGAGGTTCAAGGCGTAGTCCAGAAATGTCACAACGAAGCCCATTATTATGTACAATTAATGTATGCTAATGAGATATTTTCAGAAGGAACCATGTACTCAAGGACACGCAGTCAGTGAGTGTGACCTTGAGCTTTGAGCACAGGGATTGAACCTTGAGCCTGGGTCTTCAATCACTGTCTTCCTCATGTTTTCTGCAGCCAACGGTGGCTCTTTGTTGCTCTCTTGATGACTGTTTGCAAATCCTGTCAATGGGCACATTCTCCCCAGACTCTCACTTCACACTCATGTTTGCTCAGCCGAGTTTAGCTGCCCACACCTGTGTCTCTCTGTCAACACCCCAGCCTCAGAGAGGACTGCCCTGGTTCTCAGTCCCAGGCAGGATGACCAGGAATTGACCTCCCATCAGGGGCTCCTCTAGCTGTCCACGGAGATGACTGACTTGGTTTCCATTCTTCCTGGGCTGTGCTTTTGCCTTCACTCTTTGCTCTTCTACCTTCCCAGCTGCTGGTCTTTCACGTTTTTGTGGTACTCGGTACTGTGGTATTCTGTTACTCAGCTGGGTGACACTACGTGGTGCTTTGTTGTGAGAAGTCAAACACTGTGTTCGCCCCATCTCAGGCCAGTGTGTTTTCACAAGACTCTGTTTTTCCTGCTACAGCAAATGATATTGTTGTTTGCATTATTGCTCATGGTTCCTTCACAAGGACCCACTTTAAACCTTTGCGTCATCTCGCCTGTATGACTGGAATTGGCTCAGGCCGGCACCGCTATCTAAACAGGATCCACGTTTGGTAATGGTTAGATCTCAGATGTCACTTATGTTCACTGGGGTGTTCTCTGAGTAGAGGGGTATTGCAAAAAGGAGCAGTAGGCTGCGTTCTGGCCAGGATCCCGGCTCCCTGGCTAGTTTACACCTGAAATAATTACACAGAATCTGTATTCTTTTAAACACTGCCTGGCCCGTTATCTCCAACCTCTTATTGGCTAACTCTCATGTCTTGATTAACCTGTATCTAATAATCTGTAAGCCACCACGAGGTCGTGGCTTACCGGGAGGATTCTAACTCATGTCCATCTTGGGCAGGAGAAGCATGGCGTCTGCCTCACTTCTCTTCTTTCCAGCATTCTGTTCTGTCTACGTCACCTACCTATGTTCTGACCTATCAGGTCAAGCAGTTTCTCTATTAATTAACCAATGAAAGCAACACATAGAAAGAAGACCTTCCTACATCAGAGGGGATCAAGCCAAGGTATTCTGGCATTCATGCATATATGCTGTTCTGGTGAGAAAGCCTTGATATTGCCCTGGTTTTAGGGGTGTTGCCAGCAGCGAGGCGCAGGTGCATGGGTTTCTGCAGGTCTGTGAAATGAAGACTCAGAGACACATAGAGAATGAACTTAGCCTTAACAGCCACAGGGTCCTCAGCCTAGGTGAACTGAAACACTTGCCCCTAACCTTCAGTATTTTTATTTTCCCTATGTTTGTTTACACTTCAGCCAGTAGATTTCCATATCTCAAAACAACCTGGACGAAGAAGCTTCAGTGCAAAAATACAATGCCAAATGCAAATACCTGATTCATGAGGTACCAGGGTTTTCTGGGTTGCCTTTAACCAGTTTTGCATAGGCTTTGTATCCATGGGAAATTCTCAGACAAAGGCAACAAAAGGTATCTGTAACACAAAGGATGGATTAGAGTTGTTTGCTAACTCTGGAGCAAGGCCAAGTATAGCCCAGAAAGGGTTATGGTTAGCTGTGGCTGGGTGTGGGGTGTGGGGTGTGTGTGTGTGTGTGTGTGTGTGTGTGTGTGTGTGTGTGTGTGTTTGCTATCTCTAGCACCAGGTTGACAGGAATTTCTGTGACATAGGGGAACATCTGGCTATCTGAACCCTTCCAGACAGCACACAGTACTTCTTTCACATAATCACATAAGATTAGGTCCCCAAAACAAATGGAACTGACACCTTGATTTGAGGTATCTCAAAGTTTTAAACAGAGAAATACTTTTTCTCTGCAAGAAATATTTTTTTTCCAAGGACCCTGTACATCTCTGAGGTCATCCCACATTTGGTCTGAAAATCTGGGAGATCTGATCTGAGAAGACAGTTCCCAAAATCCATCAAATGCTTCTGTCCAAAGAGCAAGGCGTCTTCATTTGTCAAATGCAGTTACTGGGCAGGGAGATGACTCAGCATTAAGTCATTTACCAGCAAGCCTGACAACCTGAGTTCTAGTCCAGGGACTCATGGTAGAATGGGAGAACAGATTCTAACCTCTACACACATCCCTGTGACATGCATGTGTGTGCATGCATACATACCATGCATGTGTGCACACACACACACAATGCAATAAAACAATTTAAAAGCACTCATTTTAAAAAGATGTAGTTATGAGTGTTATTGGGACAAAGGGTTATAAACTATCTTGTTCTTAATGGATTTTAGAAAATTTGAAGAATCACAAAAGCTCACAGCCCAACTTTAAATGAATCTAAAGGGTGTTTTCAAACTCTAAGGAGATGTAACACATGCTAAGATATAGCAGGAAAGCAAGCTGAGCACCTTTGCCACCACAGTGTGTGGCAGACCCCTGTGCATTGGTGACAGCCTTGTTACTCAGCTTTGCAAACTTCTCTCCATCTACTTCCAGAATTGTGGCCCGAGACAGCAAATTATGTTTTTTAAAACTTGTTCTTATTTATTATGTATACAGTGTTCTGCCTATATATATGCCTGCACACCAGAAGAGGGCACCAGGTCCCATTATAGATGCTTGTGAGCCACCATGTGGTTGCACGCAATTGAATTCAGGACCACTGGAAGATCAGCCAGTGCCCTTAACCTTTGTGCCATCTCTCTAGCCCCCTCAAAATTATGTGTTGATAGAATTATGTTTTCAGAATCACCAACTGTACATGGCCTTCCATGGAGGGCAGTCAAAGTGAATGTGCGATCAGGCTAGGACTGTCAGCCTTGTGGTCATCGTCACCAACAGTTCATCTGTCCCTTAAGGGTGTGGGAATGGACAGAAGTAACCCACAAAGCAATTCCGTCCTCATTATTTCTCTTATGAAATATGTGTTTAAAACGTACTTATATGTGTACCTGTGTGTATGTGCATGTGAGTGCAAATGGCTATAAAGGTCAAAGAGGATCCTGAACCCCCTGGAGCTGAAATTTCAGGCAGTTGGGACTCACATGCTCTGCAGAGAGCTGGACTGCAGGGATTGCATAGAAAGCATTTGTCCAGAGAGTGACTGAGAAATGAGCTAAAAGCAGCTACGGAGCTGGGCAGTGGTGGTGCACACGTTTAATTCAAGCACTCAGGAGGCAGCGGTTGATGGACCTCTGAATTCGAGGCCAGCCTGGTCTATGGAGAAAGTTCCAGAACAGCCAGGGCTACACAGAGAAACCCTGTCTTGCGGGAAGGGGAAGTAGCTACAGGAAAGAAGATCATTATCCCTTTGAATTACATAAACAATCAGGCATTTTCTCCTTCACTAATGGCTGTGTTCTTTACGTGGTAGCAGTAAGAATGTGATGGCTTTATTTCTATGGTTCATAAGACATCCCAAGACCGACAAGTACAATTGACAGGGGAAAATAATAGCAGAGATTTAATCCACTTACATCTGCGAACATGCATATGTCCCATTGTACACATACACACGATATACAGATGCACATATGCATGCACATGCATACATACATGCACACATGTATATATGCACACAATAACGCACATTTATCACAGAGCTTAAAATCCACTTGGAAAGGCAATGCTATAGCTTCTACTTAAATTACACAATCATTTGTGTTTCTATTAAAATTTGCTCAACTCTAGTGTTCTGATTTTTCGGTACTCACAGGGAGGCACCTACATGAGCAAACACAATGGCTCCTTTTGCTCTCCTTTCAATTTCAGGGTCAACCAGGACCACTGGGGCCACAGGGACCAATAGGGCCCCTGGGACCCCCGGGACCCATTGGGATTCCAGGAGAGAAAGGACTGAGAGGTGTCAGTGGCCTGCCTGGAGCAGCAGGAGAGAAAGGAGACAAGGTGAGTCTGTTAAGCGTCTCATCCGTCCCCAGCGCTCAGGAGCTGTTTCCTGAAAACTCTGAGGACAATCTTATTAGTATTTAAAAGAAAACTTCTCAGGATAGGCGAACTTCAAATCTCTGCAGCTTTTTAAAGGAGGAGAATAGACAGGAGAAAGGAAAAATACCCATGCAGTCTAAGCTAGCATGGAGGCATAGAGGCCTGGAACATGAAGGTGAGCTACATGGCAGACGACAGGCACACGACAGGCAGGAGAACTTCCGAAAAAGAGGGTAAGAAAGCCTAAAACACTGGGAAAGCCCGGATTGTGAGGATAAACCTGCATAGAGAAGAGAAATCCAGACAGCCGAATTCATGCTCTTCTGAATAATTTAAGACAGCGGGCAGCTTTGAGAAGCTACGTGCCTATAGCCTGCTGCAGCATGGATGGGGATTTGGGAAGGAAAAGTATATTATCTCATTAAAGGACAGATGGTTCCATCCTTTATAAAGCTTAGGCTCAGGATTACTGCATGGCTGCACCTGGTCAAAAACTAAGACTACCACAGGACTCCGTGGTAACCAGTCTTTTTCTCAGTCTCTCTCCCAAGGAGCAAGCCCTTCTAGAACATTTCTCCCATCTGTAAATGTGAGCACAGAGGACTGGCATTGTTCATCTGCTTTCCGAACTTCCCAAACAAAGTATTATGTGTGCCAAGCGGAACCTTTAATTTCCCAGTCCACAGCATGTCTTAGCTAGCCTCCTATGTTAATTTCCTTAGTCCACATTTATTTCTTGAAAAATACCAAAGGATACACCATCCCATCTGTAAAACCATAACATATTTCGTGTTGATGAAAATGTGAAATGCTTTTGTAACTCAGTGTAGTGCCAGGGTAGGGACACAACCCCATCAATGCTGTTGTTCACTTTAAGAGTCTGTTGTCCTGGATAGGATTCTGAGGGCTGGAGCTTTACAGCACGCTGAATATTCAGTTTGGGTTGGTTCTGCCGAGTTGCCTTCTCAGGTCCACATAACCAAGTGTGAAGGGATGCTTCTTAAACGTTGAGGCCTGGACCAATCAGCCTAAAAACAAGTGACAATGACTGCTAAGGGGTTTTGATTTGGGGCCATCAACTGTTCAGTTTCAAATAACCGTATTTGCCGATCTAACAATCTACTAATTTTTACATCTCTGTTTCATATTTTGAAATAGGGTCCAACTGGTGTCCCTGGATTTCCAGGTTTGGATGGCGTACCAGTGAGTGTCCCCACATTTTCTCATTGTTTTAAGAAAGGAATAAAAGCAGACGCTAGGAGTTTTAAGTGAAGCAGAGTGAGGTGTCAGTGCTTGGGAGACTGAGGCAGGAGGATGACGAGCTTGAGACAATTCTGGTCTACATAATAAGAATCTTAAGAGGGGAAAAAAGGGGAAGAGGGAAACGACAGAATCCCTGAAAAATACATTTTCAAAATACATGTGCGCTTAGTTCTTTAAAGGCTGCTTACTCTTCAATTGTGCAGTGATTCTCAAACTAAAACATTTTACACAAAGAACAAAGTCTTCAAAGACGTTAAAAAAACAAGTCCAGAATAGATGCTAGATATCTACCGTCATGCTCAGTGCTCTGGAATGAAATGTGTGTCCATCACAGAAACCTCATCTTCTGGTACAAGTGGTGCTGAGAGTCATGCAATACAGAAGCCTGGGAGAAGAAGAAAGTGGGGCTTGGGGAACTTCACAATGCAGTCTCGGGATTTCAGGGAAGGTTTTCTCCTAAGCTGGAGAGAAACTCAAGCTAAATCAACTTGCCATGGCCATAGTACATTTCTAAATTGTGATTTCACGATCTAGCTCTTTTAGGGAGCCTCACAAAGTGGAATGAGTTAACAAGTGTGCCCTAAGTTCTGTAGTTTGGGGTCCGTGTTTCATAGCCTTTGTGTTAGGTTTCCTTGCAGAAATATTTTGCTCACAGTTTTGTCCTCTGCAGGGTCACCCAGGACCTCCGGGACCCAGAGGCAAACCTGGCGTGGATGGCTTCAGTGGCTCAAGAGGTGATCCGGGATTTCCAGGAGAAAGAGGAGCGCCTGGCCCAGTAGGGCCCCCTGTAAGACACCATTAGCACAATCTCGAGGGATCTAAGAAAAGACTATCCTGGGAACGGCTTGGCGGACTAGGGAAGTGGAGTCAATGCAGTTTTGCCTGTGGCATGGTGAACTAAACTGGGTGATTGCGGAGGGGGATGGCAGAACCAGACTACATCTGGGCGTCATAGGCTGTGGAGGTAAACTAGATTTTCTTTCCCATGCGGTAAGAAGACCCTAGTGGCTTTAAGACGGGTTGTGATCTAACTGGTTTTATTAAGGTCTTTCTAGTTCCTGTACAGAGACTGGATAGTTTAAAAAGAAGGGGGCAGTTTACCAAAACTTCCACTCCCACCATTCAGGGTAAATTTGTCTTTAAATACAGTTTCAGCAAGGGACACTCTTGTATTCTCACCACGCACCTCCCTGCCTCTCTCATAATTTGGCCTGGGATAAAATGCATTATATGAACTCCTCGAAGAACTATTAAAAATTGAGAAAAATATTTAATAAATAAATATATGCCTTCTCTTAAGAAAATGTTGGCTTCCTCTGTGTGGCGGCCTTTCAGCCTTTTCGCTTTGCCATTTAGATAGCTCTTCCCAAATCCTCCCAGAAGGCTTAGCGGCACTGCCAGAGCCATCCATTTCCCCTTTGTTCATCTCGCCTGTGCTCTGGACTGAAGAGCTGGTCTGACCACAGAACTCGGGAGGAATTCCAGGCTGGCACCTCTCTTGAATATCACATAAAAATCATTTTGGGTGCTAAGGTTCTCAGTCAAGCGCTCCGCTCTAGTCTCAGCCTTTTGACGGTCCAGCGCAGTGAGATGAACGTATACATCCCCAGCTCTTCCAATGGGACCAGACCTCATTCTACTGAATCAGGCGTTTCAGAGAGCAGGGGCTCTCGGTGGTAGCTTTTCCACAGTAAACAGTACTGACCACAGTGTTGGAATGTCACAACAGTCCCTTTGTCTCTGTTTTACAGAGAGCTTGATACTATGAAGAAGGCAGACACTCTGTGTGACAAGTCAATGCGTATAAGATGTTCTAAGTTGTTATATAGGAAAATTAGAACGAAATTCGTTGAGCTGTTTATCTACCTTTAAAAATGCTCTAAATAGCTGGCCACCGTGGCGCAGGCCTTTAATCCCAGCCCTTGGGAGGTTAAGGAAGGCAAATCTCTGAGATTCTGATAAACCACAGTTACATTGTGGCGCCTTGTCTCAAAAACCAGCCAGCCCACCAACCAACCAACTAACCAACCAAATAAACAAACAAAACTCTCTAGGCAAACTAGCTGCTTCACGAAGTCTGTTAATTTGAAAGACAGCCTTACAAAGTTGTGTAAGATCAATTTTGAATATAAATAGTGAAAGGAGTCAAGTAAATGTTCTTAAAAATTATTTCTGGATCAAAAATTAAATTCCAAAGTTATTTATGTTTAAGAATGCTTCCTTGCATTATATTATGAGAAGAATGCAGTCTTTCTGCCTCGTGATTAGCAACTAAAACTATCCATTAGTGGGGCGTCTTATTTGGGACTGCCTTTGCAGATCCTAACTGAAGGCCTGAGAGACCTGTATGCAAACCAGTAAGATCAGGGAGATGATAAATCCACCCCAGGTAGATGACTACAATGCTGTTTTAAATTGGTGAGTAGTATTTATATAGAAAAGAAAACAGTGGATCAGCAATCCACTTTTTCCTAACGAATCTTTCCTTTTCAGGGTCAGCCTGGGGAAAATGGAGAAAAAGGAAGATCGGTGTTCATTTCCGGTGGCATTAAAGGTATTCAGGTGAGTGTTATAACCGTCATCATGGGTTTGTCAAAGTCTTTTTCCCAATTGGAAATGCATGGGCAGAGATTTCTTTCAAAGTTTTATTGGATGTACTGATTTTTTTTTTTTTGGTCATTAACCTGACAGAACAAGATGGCTCAGTTCCTCTTGTATGAAAGCATTGACCTTTGTCTCTATGGCTGTAGATTTCCTTGCCACTTACACATTCAGAATTATAAGGACATATTTATTTGGGGTTCCCCAGGCTCATCGCTACTATTATTTGGGCCAGGTAGTCACTGGTGAGGACTGACCTGAGAATCGCAGGGCACTGAGAACCTTAAGGAGTTTCTTGGGGGGCTGGGCAGGGCAGTCCAGGGTATCTTTGAATTAGCTGGATTTTATAGCCTGTTTCTGGGGCAAGCTCGGGGATTGGTGGGATTTTGTGCTCAGGGATCGGTGGGATTCTGCAGTCTGACTCTGGAGTAAGCTCAGGATTCGTGGGATTTAAAACCCTGGTCCTGGGATTAAGTTAGGGTCAGGGTGTTTTTCCTTGGCCCCTTTTACCCTACACTGACTCTACCAACCTTGTTCTGGCCTCCAGTAGGTAGACAGGAGAATAAATGAAGGAAAGCAGCTCTATGGAGGCCTTCTGTGATTGTTTTCTCAACACTAACAAATGAATTTGCTGCCTATCTTGAATAGTGCAGATCGTTCTTGCTCCACTTGTCTTTCTGGGTCATCCATGTCCTAGAAAACAGCCCTCCTCTTGTAAAACAGTATGATGTTGTCATTGCAGGGAGACCGCGGGGACCCAGGACTGCCCGGCTTGCCAGTAAGTCTCCCGAGAAGACCATGGGCATCTGTCTTCTCTTCAGATAGCTCTATAGATGTTAAGTTCAACATGACCAACCACAAAAAGTGTGGGACCTACCTAGAATAAAAATGTGATCTCTTATCAAAATTAAAAATTTCATAGTATGGACACGGGGGTGTTAAGTCCTGTTTACCCACTGGGAAGCACTGCTGAACCTCAGAAAGCTGCCTTTTATCCCTACTCCCCGTTGTCTGGTCATGATCATTTAGTACTGTTAGGCATTTATTGGCTTTTAGAAAATTAACTTTTAGAAACACACACATACACACACACACACACACACACACACACACACACACACACAGCCTCTACATAAATACAGCGATTGGAATTTTATTCCACAGAAGTGGAATAAAGATTTCTGCCTGATAAATTAGTGACTGTTTATTGCTATATTGCCCACTTTCATCTCCCCGTAGTTTGTAACTCAATGATCACATTAGCCTTTGAGTTTGTCAGTGTTTGCAAGATTGAAACCGAAAGCAGTTTTACTTCCCAGCGGTTATTCACAGACTCGCATTTCCAGGCCGGTTCCCTAACTGATGTGAACTGTAGAGCAGGGCACTGCTCTCTCCAGCCTTCTGGGGCTGCTTGGCCATCCCTGCCATCTGCCAGAGTGTAAGTCATGATGCTGGCAACTCGCATGAGACAGGAAATTGTTTATGATCCTGAGCTGGGGACAGTGTTTCTATTCACTTTGGTCCTCTAGGCCACATTTCAAGAGTATTTTTTAAAGTACACATACATTACATAGATCTAATTTACATGGGAAGTTGAAAAAGACAAGATCTCCTGAGTAAATTGGGAGCATGAGGACCTTGCAGGGAGGGCTGAAGGGGAGGGGAGAGGAAGGGAGGGGAGCAGAGAAAAATGTAGAGCTCAATAAAGTCAATTTTAAAAAGTACAAATACATTAATATTTAATAAAAATCAATTTAGAAAGTACAAATACATTAATATTTAAATATGGGGCAAGAGAGATGGCTCAGTGGTTATAGAGCACTGGCTGCTCTTGCAGAGGACCTGATCTCAGTTCCTAGCACCCACCTGGAATCTCATGACTGTCTCTAATCCTAGGTCTAGGGCAATGATTCTCAACCTGTGGGTCTTGACCTATTTGGAGGTAGCATATCAGATCTCCTGCATATCAGAGACTTACATCATGATCCACAACAGTAGCAAAATTACAGTTATAAAGCAGCAATGAAAATAATTTTATGGTGGGGGTCATCACAACATGAGGAACTGCATTAAAGGGTCACAGCATTAGCAAGGTTGAGAACCATGGCCCTAGGGGATTCCTGTTCTGGCCTCTGCAGGCACATAGGTAAATATTCATGGGCATAAACTAAAAAAGACTTTAAATATGAATGTTCCCCAAGACTGATAGGATGAGACATCTTGATATGTATAAAGCTGAATTGGAGTTAGAAAGAACTAATGAAGTTCTTTTGTTTGTGGCTTTAATTATTACAAGTTTTGGTTTGTACGACGCTGATTGTTCTCTTGAGCTGAATGGAAGCCTACAGGAGAGTGTGCCACCCTTGGAAGGCTGCTCCCACCTCTGCTGAAGATGCACTCACTGAGTGTATGCGGGGGGGACTGAGTGCTTTGCAGGTTTATACCTGCTTGAGCTTACATGCCTTCCTGTGTGCGAGAGATAATTGTGGTTTATACAGTACATGTGCTGATCTCTCTCTCTCTAGGGATCAAGGGGTGCCCAAGGATCAGCAGGGCCCATGGGGTATGCTGGTGCACCAGGGCCTGCAGTAAGTACAACTCTGTCCATGCTGTCCTCTGTAGCACTGAGAACAAAGCTGCATTCTTGAGTCAGGCTAATGACCCACACTTATTGGCAGGAATTTATCTTGGTGCGTAGGTCTCCCATCAGAAGTCACTCCCTACACAGAAAAAGAGTCCATCCTTGTTTAAAAGTCCACTGTGTGTGTGTCTTTTTTTCTTTCTTTTTTCTATTTTTCTCCTTATTCTAGGAGATTACGTGATTATCATCCTCATAAGAATGAGAATGGCTTGAGCAAATTTAAAATCAGATGTGTTTCCTAGTTGAAACTTGGGTGATCAAGGAAGACATTCTGATGACTATGATTGCTAATAATTTTTTTCCCATTGATTTAGGGACCTGTAGGTCACCCTGGGAGCCCTGGGTTGAAGGTAAGTTCTGGATCAAATCCATCATCAGAACCTGGCCTCAGTGCGATGACTGGTCACTGACGCCCGTCTCAATCACTTCCTCCCCTTTTGAAGAAGCCTTAATGATCTGCACAGCTAGAAGACTTAATCGCTTTTAATTGTCTTTTTAAAACTAAAAAGCAATTAGATTTCTCTTTTTTTTTCTTTCAGGGAAATCGTGCTGTGGGAATAAAGGGGCAAAGGGGAGACCCGGTAAGGATCCCTCGTGTGGAAGAGCAAATGATAAGATGTTTTCTCTAGTAACAGAGGCTGTTGTGACCGCCTGTGCTCAGTGTGGCCTCATTGTTTAACTTCATAGCTCAGAGCTCCTCCTTGCTGACTTAGTTTACCCTTAGCTGTGAACATAACACCCTGAGCTCTGATAAAACATAATTCCGGTGCTAGGAAGTGACTTCATGAGTAGGGTACTCTAGGGAAGCGATTTAAGGTGGTGGCTTCTCTGGATTTACCTCGAATGCCCGGCGGGGGATGGGTGCTCTTGACGAAGAGAACACAGGAGAAGCAGCTCTTAGGCATCTACTCCACAGCAGGGAGGTTAGCAGGGTAAAGTTAACATAGCAGGACCTACCTGTTCCCTGTTGACATGGATGGAGTTCCAGGTTAGTTAAGTCACAGTACGGGTGGTTAAAAAGAGTCAGAGATATATGTGAAGTTCTTATGATGAAAGAAATGCCAATCATATTCTAGTGACCATAAAGGTGAGGTCATAGAACTAGGAAGTCAAGTTTGCGATGGTAGCAATGTTGAACATGATGATGCATGCCTTCAATTCCAGCCCATGGGAAGGTGCACCTTCTCTCTCTCTCTCTCTCTCTCTCTCTCTCTCTCTCTCTCTCTCTCTCTCTCTCACACACACACACACACACACACACACACACACACACACACACACACA